GCTTGTAGTTATCAAAGTTATAGCAAAAACTGATGCCTCTTAGCTTTTCTTTTGCAAATATAATTCTTTGTAGCTAAAACTGTTTCTTTCCCAAAGATCACTTAGAAGAATGAATGGGTGCAAAAGCCAAATCAATTGGCTGTCTTAATCTCCACGTGAAGAGTGCCGTCGTTGGTTCCCGTTTTCGCAAATTCCTTATTAGGCACAGTAGATAAACAATATATGTTGTTTTACGCTCTTAGATAACATGCCTCTTAAATGTATAATATGCGCTTGGCCCTTTAACTAAATAATCAATCTATATCACCTAGTTATTTGTAGTATAAAATTGAGAAAACTACCCTCTATAGCCCCTCAAAATTTTAATAGCCCACGTTTTGTACCACTTACAAAAAATGGCCCTTCGGCCCAAACATATTGCATATAGTAGCCGAAAGGAATGAGTATGACAACACTAGCGCCTGTAGCTCAGTGGATAGGGCGTTATTTCCTAAGCTGAAGGTTGCAGGTTCGTCTATTTCCTAAGCTGAAGGTTGCAGGTTCGACCCCTACCTGGCGCGATGGTCAACCCTTTTTTGCCTTTTTAAATTGTATTTTGTACTTCTGGATCTAATAATATTAGCTAAGAATTGAATGACAGTCTATTTTGTATATTTTTTGTATAGTAACAGTCTATTTTGTATAGTGACAGTCTATTTTGTATTTTTTTTGTATAGTAAGTTGTATAGTGACAGTCTATTTTGTATATTTTTTGTATAGTAACAGTCTATTTTGTATATATTTTGTATAATGACAGTCTATTTAGTATATTTTTTGTATAATGACATTCTATTTTTGTATATATTTTGTATAGTGACACTCTATTTGTATATAAATTGTATAGTGACAGTCTGTTTTGTATATTTTTTGTATATTGACAGTCTATTTTGTATAGTGACAGTTTATTTTGTATAGTTTTTGTATAATAACAGTCTATTTAGTATATATTTTTTATGGTGACAGTCTATTTTGTATAGTGCCAGTCTATTGTATATAAACTGTATAGTGACAGTCTATTTTGTATAATTTTTGTATAGTGACAGTCTATGTTGTATATATTTTGTAATATACCAATATTCAAATCTATTTTCGAAAGAAATACATAAATATCCATGTAAATATATACTAATGGTGGGCCTGAAATTATAATTTCCATCAAAATCAACTAATGACATACATGTGGAAATGGAAATTTATTTGGTGAAACCCAAAGGATTTTCCTAGCAAAGAAAGTTAGCCCAGAAAAAATGAGGCAATAACAGAGAGCTTTGGATTTTTATTCAAAGAGTGGTTGCCCCTCTCTCTTTAGCCAATGATTTTCCTTTTCCACTTTTAAAACAAAATCAACAACCCTTGAATTCCTGGAAATACGTACTACTATACAGTCATTTCGCACAAGCATACTCGTAGCAACTTTTGCCATATCCACTGTCAAGATACAAAACAATGAGTCAAAAAGAATGAATGGCGAGCTCGGTAGAAAACATCAAGATACTAACAGTGGTCAGATCGTTGGAAAACAAACTGTAGAGTGCTGAGAGTAAGATCGTCAATTAAGACAGAGTCATTAGTGTACAAAAGCTCTTTGGCATTTAAGCAAACGGAAAATACTTCTTCCGCTTTACCCATCCTTTCCAAAACCAAAGCTTTAAGTGCCAGAGCATAAGGGGAATTGGGGTATTTGGAGAGGAGAGGGGTGCAGTGCTTGAGAGCATTTTTGAACTGGCGAGAATCAATGGCATCCCAAATGGGTCGAACTCTACGCTCCGGTATGCCACCAGCTAACCCAAAGTTGGACGCCATTTTCCAGCCGTTTGAGAATTGGATGCAATCAGTGATTTTGTAGCCATAGCGTGGCCGCCTCTGTCTTTACAGATCTGAGCCTCAGTACTTTTGGGCTAGCCACTAGAATTATTTTTGGGCTATAAAATGTATGTTGCAGTTTTTGGGCTACCGGGTGAAATATGTTTGGGCCGATGGGCTATAAATGAAGTTTGCTCAATAATAATTATTATTATTATTTTATTATTATTTTTTACTTCATACTTTACCTATATAATTATTTTTCAGAGAATAATTTTATATTAGTATAATATATATTATACAAATATAATCAATACTCGTTTCGATATGTAACCAGTTAAAATTAATAATTTTAGTTAAAATAAATTACTTAAAAGTTCACCCATAAAATGTCGGATATCACAAATTCATTCCAAGACGAAGCAGTATTATGAAGTACATCATAAAGTTGGAGCGAACTTGTTATTTTCACTCTTTATCTCAAGGCATTACCAATTGGTAACCCTTATTACTGAACCTATTTCGGCGTCCGAACTAAGTAAAAGTGACATAACTTGATATGCTGCTTTAGATAATAAAGCAAAGAATAAGAAAGTAGCTTGAGATCATTAGGTAACTTAGAAGCAAGCGCCTCAGCAGAATCAGTAATTTCGTGACAGAGGTTTAAGATGGTGGAGTGCTATAAGCGTTTGCTTTGGTTTATGATGGCTTCGACTACGCCAGCATAGCAGTGCCCAGATATAGTTACAATTCTTTCAGATGTATATATCAAGAAATTTACGTCCATTATCGTCATATAAGTATTGCATCTTGCAATGTACCAGATTCAGCTGCGCATAATAACCACAGTCAGCAAAAAGCACCTTCTAATTCTCATTAATAATACCAAAATAAAATTGAAGAATACTGAATCTGACAATTCTCAGTTAATTAATAAGTATAGTTAAACTCGCATGTTAAAATATAAGACTGAATCTGAATGTAACATGTTAACAAATATGAATAATTGCTCGATTACTCGTGGCGGAGAAGGAGGAAGAGGTGGACTAGGTGGATCGGCGGCGACCAGCGACGACGAGGTCGTGGTTTGGAGAAGATGAAGCAGTTGATGAGAAAGCTGATGATTTTATTAACATGTTTAGGCAGCAGTTGAAGTTACAGAGGCTTGATTCTATTATCAGGTACAAGGAAATGTTGAATAGAGGAGTTGGGAAGTGAGCAAGGTGTACTTTTGGGACAAAAATACCCTTTAATAGTTTGGTCTCTTTAACTCGTTCTCTATATTTCTGCTCAAGATTCATTTGAGATGGTGGAATTTGGACCATTTAGATATTACTGGAAATTTTAGTAGAGAAAGTGTGAAGCTCAAAATATTGATATAGAACTACACGGATATTTATGGGAATTACTCCCTCTGGTCCAAAATAAGTGTTTTTTTGCTTTTTTTTTGTGGTCCAAAATAAGTGATTTTTCCAGATTTCAAGAATTAATTAATTATTTTTTTCCTACATTGCCCTTGAAGTAAATAGTGTTGGAGTATGTGTTAGTAGTGTTTATGTGAAGAGATAGTAAAGGTTAACATGGTCAATTTCATTGCTAATTAATGTTAAAAGGTGAATTTCTTAATCTGTGTGAAAACATCTAAAAAATCACTTATTTTGGACCGGAGGGAGTATTATTTTACATGTGTTATTCGTTAATCCTAGATTATTGTTCTTACCTATAATAATCTCTTTACAAATAATTGTTTTAATTCTCGGCGACTTAAAATGAATAAAAATGTTGAGACCCTTGAAGTTTATGCATAATTTTCTCCCAAAGATTTTTATTGAAACCCATGTGGATTTTACAGATTTTGTTGTGTGGTGGAAAAGAGAGGTTGTTAACGCTTTGTTTGGATTCGCGAGAAGGATTTCAGAAAAGGAAAAAACAGTAACATTGAGGTCGATGTTTTATTTCCTAATAGAACAACTCTTTGGTTTCCTTTTTGGTGAGGGTACGCGTTCTTAAGTAGAATTCAAATCTACACCGATATAGGAGCATCAAGAGTTCATTACTAAAGATGATCCCTCAATTATTTTTGTTATAACAAAAAAAAGCACTTAATCATGCCTATAAGTGTCCGTTTGGATTGGCTTAATTTAAGTGCTTTTAATCCATTTTGTAATGTTTGGATAGAGTAATAAAAGTGCTTTTAAGCACTTATTTTTAAGCTAAAATGACAAAAACAAGCCAAAAGCGAAAAGCTAGAGTTCCTAATTTATGGCTTAAAAGCTATTTTGGCTTAAAAGCCACTTAAATTAAGCTCATCCAAACGGGCTCTAAGAATATCATTCAACCATAGTTTCAAACTTTTAGTGGACAAATACCTATTTTACTACTAGCAATCTTTATAATTAGATATTTTTTTTTAAGTTTTAAATATTATAATATTATAATATTTTTCTCTCTTTTTAATCTATAATGAACTTATAGAACAAATAAATTTAATTATAAAGTGAATAATAATTTTTAAGCATACATAATGTCAGAATAATAAAATAATTGAGCAAACTAAGCAATTTAATTAAAATAATTCGTTTGTATCAATAATTTTATAGTAACAAATAAACAGTGAAATACAATTTATGCAGGTGATAAAACAAATACAAGTTATATATGTAGGTGCAAAAATAGGTGTTTACCCTTAAAATCGGATAACAATTAAATTTATAGGTGGTTTTAAGGATACATGATATAACTTGCAACAAATTAAAAGAAAAGATTAAAATTGAAATTGACGATAAAAGAATAAGTGCAAAACACACGAGTCGAATAGCCTCAGCGCTACGTAGAGCTGACCACGTGAAAAAACAGGTTCGCGTAAATAAACTCCCGCGAAGTCTAATGTTTGACCTTGAGCTTTATTTATGGTCATAGCAAAACATATCTCATAGGAAATTGTGTTCTTTTGAAAGGAATAGGCAATTTTTCATCTGCTGATGATAATAATGGTATTCTGGGAATAAATACATGCGTATTCTTAAAGTCCCCAATGGCAATTTTAGCACTTATAACATGTATTAGAAGATCACAAGATATATGTCGTGTACCATTGCATAAACCTTCACGTGAATTTAAATTTCGTAACAACATAACAGGACAATTCTTTTTCAAGGTCAATTTATGGGGAGGTAAACCAGCAGGATGTAAAGTATGCGAAAAATCTTCATATTGACGATCTTTGCTTCCATAGTCTCATCAAATGCAACATATATTTTAGGATCACCAGAAAATTGAGCTATGAGCAAATCATTTATTTGATGAACAAAGTAATTTTTGGTTGTCAGAATTACACGCGAAGTTATAGAAGATGCATCGGAAAAACATGTATGTAGATCTGGATAAGTAACTCTAAACAACAGATCTAATGATTGATTTTCAGAAATGAAAGGGATAACAAAACAATCAGGGATTCCAATTTTGTCATGGCTATTTGTTTTATCTGGTCCATTTCCAATTCTCATCAAATATTCACAAAAGGTAGGATCTGTCTTTGCACGCATATTTTCTGATAATCGGATTTCCTAGTTGATTCCAAATTTCAGAATATAATAAGCTTTCTTGAATAAAATCTTCTTTTTTTTCCACTCCTAACAACTTTGAGAGTTTGTCTAAAATCACCACCGAAAACGACCACTTTTCCTCCAAATAGAGCATTTGTATCCATTAGATCTTTCAAGAGAATATCAAAAGTTTTTATCACTTTCTTTTTTGATATAGATACTTCATCCCAGACAATCAGTTTTGCATCACGTATTTGAAGTTGCAAGTGCACTTTACATACTAATGTTGCAAGAATATTGTTCATCGAAATCAATAAGAAATTTAAAACGGGAGTGAGCAGTTCCTCCTCCTGGGAGGATTGAAGCTGCAACACCTGAACTTGTTGTTGCTAAAGCGACAAAACATTTTGATCGTACAACAGCTAATAAAGCACGATATAGAAAAGTTTTTCCTGTTCCTCCAGGCCCGTCGACGAAAAATGCTCCTGATTTGTTAGAAAATATCCTATGAAGAATCGTGTCATACGCTTTTCGCTGTTCAGTATTTAATTTTATCTCTAGAAGCAAATCTTCTTCTCTAACAATGATATTTCTTTCAAACTGACAGTCATTGGTTTCTCTGATAGCAGCTGAAGGTTTAATTTTCTTAGGGATAAGATTATATTCATTAATATCACGTCCCATCAAATGCAAAATATCATTAATATGATTTAAATCCATAAAACGAATATCTTTAGCATTCATGTTATGTAGAATCTTAAAATCTTCGGACATTGAATCTTCAAATTGTTTTCAAAGTTCTGCTAGATTAGCGGGATAACAGTACACCAATAATATTGTAAATAAACGCCTTAAACTATATGGCATTTGATAATTTGTAGCTTCAGACATACATTCAACCAAGTTGTTATCACAGTGTAACAATCCTCTTTTTTCTGCAGCCTCTCTAAATGTATTATAACATTTGCCGTCAACTTTAAATAAGTCCTGATATGATTTTGGTCCTCTAACGTTCATCAACAATAATCTAAGATAATATCTTTCTCCTTCTGTTGGATGACATGTTACAACACGTCCAATTACAGTATGTTATTTTTGACATGTCCACATTTTTTCCTTAACTGACCATACAAAGTACTCAGGAAATTCTTTATATGATAATAACAATTGCATAGCATCTTTATTTGTTCTGTTCGTAACAAAGAATTCAGTTAACATTGTTTTTCGAATCATCGGATTACTTAGTATTCTATCAACATTCTATAATACTATTAAAAGAGACAAATTGTTGTCCTTCCAAATGTAACTGACGGTGAAAAACACTTGGAGTCATTTCACTTATTAGGAAACGAAATAATCGCCATGCAGCTTCTGGAGGTGAAACCCATCTAGCAGATTGATATTCTTTTATTTTATCTATGTCTGTATCTGTATCACTACCATGTATATGAAATGTAATTTTATCGCGTCCTTTGCAAATATATTTGTAAATATATTTCACTACCTTGATATCAGAACAAACTTCAACATTCATATGATAATTATACTTGCATAGAAAAAATGGATTATATGGAACTACCCAAAAATTATCGAGAAAGTCACCTCTTACTTCTACAGCTTCTCCGGTTCTTCTCCTTCTGTATATTGGATATGAATTCTTCCCTTTTGATGTTTGTTCAGCAAAATCTTTTGTATACTTGAATTTGCAGTTATTATTTTTCATGCAAATATTTGTAGAATTTAACTTTCCACAAGGACCATGCATCATATGTTTACTATACGTATTACATTGAGCTGTAACTGGAAGGGGAGCCTTAAAGCAATGGTAAAGCACTCTATGTGTGACTTATAGGTCATGGATTTAAGTTGTCGAAGCAACCACTAAAGATTGCATTAGGGTAAGCTGTCTACATCACACCTCTTGAGGTGCGACCCTTCGCTTTGTACACCGGACTGTTTATTTTTACATTAAGCTATAACCCACAAATCGTAAGGAAATCATGTCCAACAAGCTTGTTCTTGTCCACTTCTTTAACTGTTCAGGGAACGCAACAAACAAAATAATAGTTCAAAAACCAGAATGCAAAGGACGCAAAATATCATCAGAAACTTGATTCTTTTAGATTCTAGTGCATAAAAGGTCTAAGTATCTAAAGGCAGTAAAACACAGCCATTTCATTGTAAAGATCATAATCATGAGTTCTATTTTACCATGAAAGATCTAAAATCAGTGACATCATCTGTATCTTCGTGTCAATTTTAAGCCCTAGGTCTACCATTGTCGAGCTCTGAGCTTTAGAGAAGAAGAAGGAAGAAGGGAGAGAAAGAAAAGAGAGAAACTGAACTCATTTCTTCATTAACTGAAAAAAAGGAAATACTGTACATGTACATATTTAACCACCGACTTTATCACTTAACTAACTAACTCTAATTGTCACTAATACATCTTCTAGAACAGTACATCATAAATAGCTATAGGTACAACCACACTAAGCTACTAATTTCTACACTCCCCCTCAAGTTGAGAATGAAAAATATTTTTCATTCCCAACTTGGATACCAAAACTGCATGCTGTTGATGTCCCAAGGCTTTTGTTAAGATGTCTGCTGGTTGCTCATTACTTCCTATGTCTCCAGATTTGATCAGCCCTCTTGGATCTTTTCCCTTATGAAGTGACAATCAATTTCTATGTATTTAGTTATTTCGTGATAAATGGAGTCTGCAGCAATTTGCAAGGCAGCTTTGTTGTCACAAAACAACTCCATAGGCTCTATAATATCAACTGTCAGTTCCTTTAGTAGACCCCTTAACCATGTCAACACTGCCACTGTATGAGCCATACTTCTGTACTCAGCCTCAGCTGAGCTCCTTGAAATGGTGGACTGCTTCTTTGCTTTCCATGAAATAAGAGAATTCCCTAATTTGACACAGAATCCTATGACTGACTTCCTGGACATGGGACATGCTCCCCAATCTGAGTCACAAAAACCTTGAACTCTTTCTGTACTATTGCTAGACATCAGAAGTCCTAGTCCTGGTTGATCTTTAATATATTTCACAACATGTAATGCAGCCTCATAATGAGACTTCTTTAGAGCATGTATAACTGGCTTAGGCTCTGCACAGCATATGCTATGTCAGGTCTTGTGATTGTCAAGTACAAAAGCTTTCCAACTAATCTTTGAAAGAGACTTCTGTCTTCCAGGATGTTGTCACCAGTGTTCTCCTTCACAATCTCATTAAACTCTATGCTTGTAAGTTTCAAATTCTGTTCCATTGGGGTCTTCTTGGGCTTTGACCCTGAGAGTCTTGCTTCTGAAATCATCTCCAAGGCATATTTTCTTTGGGACATAAAAATACCTTCTGATGATCTAGCAATTTCAATTCCTAGAAAATATCTCAATTCTCCAAGGTCTTTTAGCTTGAAGTTCTGATGCAAAGATGTTTTTGATGCCTCAATCTCCTTTAGATCATTACCTGTAATGAGTAAGTCATCTACATAGACAAGTATGAGAACAAATTTTCCATTAGTTGTTTTAGTAAACAGAGAATAATCATGTCTGCTTTGATGGAAACCAGATTTGAGAAGAGCTTGTGTCAGTTTCAAATTCCATTGCCTAGAGGCTTGCCTTAAACCTCTCTACTGTGCCATCAGCATTATATTTAATCTTGTAAACCCATTTACACCCTATAGGAACTTTGCCAGGAGGCAGAGTCACAACCTCCCAAGTGTTGTTTTGTTCTAATGCCTCAATTTCAAGTTTCATAGCCTTGATCCACCTGTCATCTTTGACAGCCTGGAAGAAAGATGTTGGTTCAAGATTAGAAGAGAAAGAGGCTAGGAAGGACTGAAAGGGAGATGAGAGGTGATAATGGGAAATGAAGTTATGTATAGGGTAGAGTGATGAAGCAGAAGCAGATGGAGAAGGTAAGGGAAGATGAATATAGTCAGTCAACTAGATGGGAGGTTTGGAGACCCTAGCTGATTTCCTAATTTGTGTAGTTTGGATGGTAGTTGGATGTGAGTTTGGTGCATCAGGAAGATCAGAGCCCAACTCTGTGGGCAAATGAGGAGTAGAGGGAAATGATGGGGTAGGATCAATAGGGAAATCAGTAGGGGAATCAGAAGAAGGGTGAGGTGAGTCTGTGAAATCATCTGAAGGGCCAGGGATAGGAACTAGTGTCTCATTGGTAGCAGAGGGTGCTGGTGTTATGTTGGAGGATGGAAATATATCTGAAGCAAGGTGATTGGGAGTAGGATCAGGAGTCACTAGGAACTTGTGTTTGGAATGTTTGAAGGGGAATATTTCTTCCTTAAAGACAACATCCCTACTAACTATAAACTTGTTAGCAGCAATATCATATACTTTATATCCCTTTTGTGTTGGTGCATATCCCATGAAGACTCCAGGTGTAGATTTAGGGTTGAACTTATCATGAAAATCAGTCTTTGTGGCATAGCAAAGACAGCCCAAGGTTCTCATGTGAGCAAAAGAAGGAGGCTTGCCATGGAACATCTCATAAGGATATTTTCCTTGTAGAACAGAACTAGGTAGCCTATTTATGATGTATGTTGCTGTTAGAATGCAATCACCCCAGAATTTCAAGGGTATGTTTGCTTGAAATCTTAAGGCTCTTCCTATTTCAAGAAGGTGTCTGTGTTTTCTCTACACAACTCCATTTTGTTGTGGGGTTGAACGCAACTGCTTTGATGAATTATCCCTTTGGATTTGAAAAGATTGAAACAAAGAGTGTTAAAAAATTCATGCCCATTGTCTGATCTGACACATTTGATAGTAGTTTCAAACTGATTTTCTATAAGCTGAAGGAAATCTTTCAAAACAACATATACATCACTCTTGAGTCTTAAAAGAAAAACCCAAATCATTCTAGTGTAGTCATCAACAAGAGTTAGAAAGTATTTGAAGCCATTGTAAGTACATACTCCATAGGGTCCCCAAACATCCATATGAACTAGATCAAAAGAAGAAGTAGATTTAGAAGTGCTGATAGGAAATGGTAATCTAACTTGTCTAGCAGGAGGACAAATAGGACAATTACAAATAGATGACTTAGACAAGTATTTATTTATCTCAGGTATAGTCTGTAAGACTGCCATAGGGGCATGTCCCAATCTTTGATGCTACAAAGAGCTTGAACTTGGTTCATTTGAAACTGTCATACATTTGGAGGAGGAAAGAGCAGTAGCAGGTTCTGAAGGATTAAAGATGTAGAGACCACCTTTGAGTCTACCAATCCCCTTCACCTTGCTACTGAGGAGGTCCTGAAAGATGCAAAAATCAGGATAAAAATGGACAGCACTATTTAACTCTTTAGTGTATTTGGATATAGACAACAAGTTATACTTGAATTCAGGCACATAGAGAACATTATAAATGGTTTCTGAGTTAAACAAGTTGCAGGAACCAGTATGAGTAATTTTGGTGCTATTACCATTTGGTAGGTGGACTGAAGATGCTTTAGGTTCAGGTATTTGGATGATGCTTGACAAGAGATTCAAGGATGATACTATATGATTTGAGGCACCAGAATCAATAATCCAACAACTATGTTCAGTTAGTGATTTACCTGCCATGTTGGCAACTTCTGCTGGCTCAGGTTCCTTGCTCAACAGTTTGAGGAACTGCTGATATTGCTCTGGAGTGAATCCTTGTACAGTTGGAACAGTTGGAACATTCTGCATAGCATATGCCTTTCCTGCACCTTGAACCTCATCATCTGC